GCGAAACGGAACCAGCGCAACAGAACAGAAGAACAATGACAAAGGCATTCACTGCAGCTCACCTGCGAAAAGTTGTGATAACTTAGCCACCACATACGTACAGTGTACAGGACAGTACATGTGTACATACTGACGGTCGGACCGCTCAAGTGACAATTGACCGACGAGTGACTGGCCGTGTCACGACCGAGACGGGATCGACGCGGCTTTTTAGAGTGTGTGCTCGCCATTTGGCCACCGATGGGCCGAGATGGCCAGAGCTTTAACAGTGACTGAGTTGAGCTTTATTATACACCTTTTTCCAAACGAGACCGATAGCCCCCCTGTCCATGACCAATAGCTTGACCAACAGCTCATGAGGAGACTGATGGAGTTGACCGACAGCTGGCAAGTAGACCAACAGCACTGCTGTGAAGACCGTGAGATCTGCTTCTCAAGACCGATAGCATGTGCACACACTGATGGCTTGTCACATACCAGCACACTTCCGAAGGCAATGAACAATGAATGAATTCCAAAGCTAGATGACAAGGTACAAACTAGAGACCAAACCGATCAATGGCAGCAGCAGCATCGTGATCATGACCAAGTGGATGGCCGGCCTCTGCAACAACCAGCCATCGTGTTGCCTCCCTGATCCATCCTCTGCAGTTGTCTCCTGTGACGGTGCTCAATGTGTTGCTGATAAGGTTGACAAGTCCGGAATGCTCCGTAAGTTGCTGACGAGAGACAATCGGCTTGATCTTGCTGAAGACGTTTTTGGCAATGTTGAGCCAAGGCGAGTAAGGTGGTAGAAACTCGACAGTGTGGCCATGATCACGAACAAGGTCCAGAAAGCCGTGATTGTGATGAAAGCGGGCGTTGTCCATTACAAATGTCTTCTGCTGGCCGTCAAAGATTGGGAACACAGCCTTGTTGAAGAATTCGATGAGCTTTGAGGCATTCCAGGCACCGATGATTGTGCGATGAGCTTGGATACCGGTGCTGTCAACAGCAACAAGAAGGGAGATGTTCCTGCCACGGTTGGCTGGACGATCCTGCACAAGAGCACGCTCTCCTGTTGGTGCACGACCTTGTGTTCTCGTCATCTGCAGGTTGAATCCGGCTTCATCAAAGAAGACAGCATCCGAGTATGACTTGCCATCAAGATGAAAGCGACGAGCATACTCTTGACGAGCAGCCCTTGTTGCATCACTGTTGTGTCGGTCATGCTCGACATGGAGCCGCTTCAGTGTCATACGTGCACGATCCTCCAGTGCACGGCTAATGGTCTGAAGAGGGACATCTGTAGCTCCTTCACAATGCTCGTTGAGCTCGTCACGAAGCTCATTGAGAGTTGCGCCGGGTCGTTCTTCAAGGACACCAATGAGGAACTCGACATGTTCATCCTGCAGTCGTGACTTCCGTATCTGCCCTCCTCGTTGTCCAGCTTCAATGGTTCCAACCTCCTCATATCGTTTCCAAACCCCATACACTGACGAGTAAGGAAATTCGTACCTCTTTGCTATTCCTGACAAAGACTCGCCGCGCAAAACAGCATCCACAATCTTCTGACGGAACTCAAGGGTGATGGTCCTGTGGCGTGGCATTGTGATAGCGGCATTACATGGTGTTGGTGGTGAAGAGCGAAGGTGGATGGTGGTGATGAGCGGAGGTATGATGGTGATGGCATGCTTGATTGGTGGATGGACATCTCTGGCCGGGTGGAGGGCTGTTGGTCTTGGACTGTGCATCTCACGGTCAAAGGTGACTCACCCTCGATCGTCGTGGTGGCTGTTGGTCAACTCCATCAGTCTCCTCATGAGCTGTTGGTCAAGCTATCGGTCATGCACAGGGGGGCTATCGGTCTCGTTTGGAAAAAGGTGTAAATTTACGCCCTTTTGCTCAAAATAGCCAGGTCAAGTCACCAGGACGAAGCACAAAATACGGTAAAGTGTAGGAAATGAGGTCTCGAGAATAGGATGGGGAAAATGCTGGCTCAAAATTTCCGCTTGATACAGGAGTATGCCCAGCCACACTAAAGTACCCACATTTTAATAGACAAGAGACTTCAGAGATACCATTACGAATGATGCGTCGATGTGTTAAGTGGCTCGACCGACCTAGTGTTACAAATGGATGCGATAGAATATGCGTGGGTACTGCCAAATATAGAGAAGATGCATGCGAGTGACAAGTGGGGCAACCGCCGACCCTTGTGGGTGTTGCGTGCCAAAGAAAACCCTTGATAGTGAGAGAGCATGCGAACACGAGCGACAAAAGAGAGAAAGAGTAATAAAAGGGAAGATACACCTGGTGTTAAGGGCAAGGCGTCGTGCCGGGTATGTAAGAAGGCAGTTCAGAATCTGAGGGATTGTGCCTGGTGTTAAGGGCAAGGCACCGTGCCGGGTATCTCCGATTGGGTTGCAAAATCAACGAGAATGAAAAGAGTGCGTGGTCTTGGAAGTCTGAGAAAGTGAGGCGAGGAGAGCAGAAAAGAAAGGAAAAGAGCCAGAGCTCGGAATCACAGATTCCGTCATCTGTTTTGAGCTGCAGTGTTTGGTGGTCAGCGACGGAGGCCGATTCGGTGCATGAGTTCATCCCATACGAGCGCCTTCTCAGCGGCTGCACCACCGGTCATGATGTCGCCGTTCTCGAGAGCGCGACGAATCAGGTAAGGCAGAGTGAGCTCGAGAGGGCCGTAGGGGATGTATTTGAGCACCATGTGCGGACCGACGCCGCCAGAAGTCGGGTCAAAAGCGGCTTGGATGCGTGCGGTGAGGACCGAAGCCATACCGTAAAGCTGGGCGAAGAAGATGCGTCCTCGTACCGAGTCTTGCAGCTGCAAGTTGACCAAGGGAACATGTTTCGATAGCGCGCCATTGTCCATGCCGGGGTTGGCATCCTTGGTAGCCTGCAAGAGTGCCGGAGCAGGCTTGGCCATGCCGAGACGGACCATTTCGCGAATTACCTTGAGAGCTGACTGGGTGTTGTGACTGGCGAAGACGACGGCAAGACTGGGTTGCGTTCCCTTCTTGGCGCTGCGGGTGAGATCCTCATGGATCTCCTGAACGAGACGGATGGCGCAGCCATCGTAGCAGCGGTCGGTGAGGTCCTTGTTGGGCCAAACGGGACTGCCCCAGCCCTGGTATGCAGGTGCGTCTGCGCCCTTGCCCGGAACTGGAGGTGCATCAACGATCTTGTCGGACCAGATTCGGTTCTCAATGTCGACATAAGCGCCTCGGACGAGCTTAACACCAAGCGTATAACCATTGAGCTTGGCGCGTTCGAACGAAGCTGCAAGATGCGAAGGGGTTCGGCGAAGGTAGGCTTGGAACGTGTTGTAGACCAAAGGGCCGGTGATGCTTCCCTGCGGCGCGTTGTCAGACGAAGAGGCGGGTCGGTTGTATTCGGCAGCAATGGCTTCGTACATGGCATCGATGGCGGGCTGGTACCAGCTGTACTCGGCGTCGATAGCGAGGCGAACACTGCCGTGCTGCTTGGCTCGCTCGGCCACCTCTCGAAGGACTTCCCAGAGCTGCTTGAGCGCTTCGACATCTTGGGGTGGGAGCGCGGCGACGGGAATGGCGAGACCACCACAGGGGCCCTTGCCGTTGATGCTGAGAGGAGGGAGCGGCTCGGGAGGCGAGCTGAACCATTCTCGAGGCACGATGGCAGCAGAGGCGCGTTCGAGCACCGAAGAGTCATAGAGCAATCCAGAAAGCTTGATGGCAACAAACGTGCTGCCGGATCGGTCAGGACGGACGGCGAGCTGGGCAGCTTGCTGGTTGTCAGCGACACCGTGAGACGCGGGGAGCGATGCGAGCTTGGCCGAGACGTCAATACTGTGCAGGAGCTCATCGACGAACGGACGATGAACGGCCGACTTAGGACCCGCACCGCCTTCCGAACCCTTGGCGGGCTTGCCATCATGAGTAACCTCGACGGAGAAGTTGAGCATGGCACCCAGATTGTCGCGCGAGAGCGAGGAGAGCAAAGGGAGCGAGCCTTCGGCGGTATCATCGCTGATAAATTGACGGAAAAAGGTGCGACGAATGATGTACTCGGTGACGGTCCAGACGAGAGGCAGCTGCGTGTTGGCACTCCATTCGATAAGTTGGGGACCGATCTTGGCTAGAGACGGAAAGGAGCAGAGCGTGAAGACGACGTAGTTGGTGAGGAGCATCGAAACGGGCTGAGAACGAAGCGGGCGGTAAGGACGATGAGTCTCGTCCTCGCGCTGCACATCCTCGCGGTGGGCCTGGGCGAGCGACTTGGACTTGGAAGGGTCCTGGGCGTCGAGGTGAAGCGGGTCTGCGAAGGAAAAAGTAAGTACGGTAAAAGCTGAACCAGCGAGAGCAGCACGGAGGGCGTACAGGCCGAATCGGTTGGCGGTCGAAGCTTGCGGATTGGCAAAGGCAGAATGTGTGCGGAGGAATGCCCATCGCTTGCCAACGATGTTTGCGTCACTGATCCATCGTGTTGAAGATGGTCTAGGCGAAGCAAGCTTGCTGGTGCAGCTTTTCAAGGACTCTGAGCGCCACGCAGAGGATCGAGCCAGGGATTGGGCCATACGACGGGTTTGCGCCATTCCTCGACTCTCTTTAAATGTGTGAGTGGTCTTGCACGGTGTGAGGAGTGTTGTTGAGAACAGATGAAGCGATGAAAGGGAAAAGAGAAGAGGAAACCACGACCTAGGAACAGAAACCACGGCACAGAAAGGGGGAAGGGACAGAGACAAGGTGGGGAAAGGAGCAGGATGATGGAGGACAAGAGGAAAGAAAGGTGGGGAATCTGAAGGGAAGAGCGGGAAGGACGAGAACAGCAGACGAAAGCAGACAACATAGAGGCGATACAGTAAGTCCCCACATACTGTACTACATTTTTTCAGCCCTGTTCGCTTTTCGTGCTGCTCCTTCGAGGGTCACGAGGCTGTCACATTTGAATAGACCGAAGTTCAGCAGAGGACCCACCGATGCGACTTGAAGAGGTTAAAAAATAAAGCGCACAAAAAAAGGTTATGGAGACTGCATGAGTCGAACACGCGACCTTTCGCAAATTAGACAAGATGCTAAGCGAACGCTCTACCAACTGAGCTAAACCCCCGGGTCGGTATCAGTCAGGCAAGCCATTGTATATATTATTCTGATTTGTTTTTCCCTTATAGATCTTACTATCAGCGTGTGGACTGAGACAGACCGGACAGGCGGTGATTGGATTCAAGTACGGTAGTTGTGGACGGCAGCTCGGCACCATGCAATTCAGATGCACGTTTGCGACGTCAACGCCACAATCCCAGACTCAGGTTCGAGCCCTGTGACACGTAGCTTCCTTGCAGCAGCATCGCTGTGAAGGACCGATGCAAACGCGTTGAGAAGAGCTTCTTTCTTTTGCTTCGGCGCTTCTGTTTCAGCCGGGGAGGCCTTGTTTCCTTTGAGAGGAGATGATGAATTTGTTCAGGAGCATCTGCATGAAGAGCACCTGTCCCGAAATCAATTCTCAATCACGAATCGCGTCCAGCAACGCTCAAGTGCCGCTACAGTATGCACGCCATCATCAAAATGTGAGCGAAGTCCGGCAGGGCCTTTTTTTCGCTCGTTTTTGTCTCTTTCGTGCTCACGTTCGGACTGTGAATTCATCCTTGACGCTACCAACGCCAGCACTTTCCTCAACCAACATCACCACCACCACACCCTTTCATCCTTTCATCCTTTCATCCTTTCACCCTCGGAGCAGACACTAGCACACGCAGCCGCCTAGTCTGGAGATCCTTTCGAGTTCTCAGCAAGTGCGTGCATTTCGGTGGTAGCCGAGTAGACGGAAGCTCGGCCTTATCCAACCCCATCATCCAACGACGAGATCCTGTCAACCACCACCTTGTCCACCGTCGACCAGGATGCAGACAACCCTGTCATCCCTATGGGCTGGCGCAACGGTCAGCGCCAACGTTCATGATGATGGAAGCTGCCATGTTCACCACGATCCAGTGGCCGTCTATCTTTCCATTTTCCTGTGCGTCGGCCTGGTCATGTCGTACCTACCACAGATCGTTCGCATCATCCTCAACAAGTCGTCACAGGGCTTCTCACCATGGTTCTTGCTTCTTGGCGCAACCTCGAGCGCCTCCAGCTTCCTCAACGTCGTCGCGCTCCAGTGGGGCATTGTGAGATGCTGTCCTTCCCTGCCCAGTTGGGAATGCGCCGAGTCTCTTCTCGGCATCTTCCAAGTCGGTCTGCAGTGGTTCATGTTTGCCTCCGTTTTTGTCCTCTTCCTCATCTACTATCCCGTTGATCAGAGGTACGAACGTGCTATCGCACTTCCCGAGCGTGACCAGCAGGACCGCCGCGTCCGTGCTCAGGCTCGCAGTGCTGCTCGCAGAGCGGCGGCTGATCGACAGCTCCTTTCCCACAGCACCGACAGCACAGGCAGATTGACAGCCCCCGCTAAGACCTCTCGATCCCTCGTAGGCGCTGCCGTCGAAGATGCCTCATCAGTCGGTTCGGACAATTCCGACCTTGACTCAATCGATAGCCACATTGCTCAGAACTATGCCACCAACTCCGCTCAGCCAAATGGAGATGATACCTCTTCGGAAGGCGGTGAGGACGAGGACCAGGATGAGGACCACGACCCCGAAGCTTTGCTGCACCCAAACCATCACAACTCTTCCTCTGCGCGCGATGTAAGCAGCAGCGCCTTTTCACGCCTCGTCCCCACCTTCTGGCCCATGTGGAAGGCTCCTGGCACCCAAGACGCGGGCGCATCTGATCGCCCTCGCTCATCAAACCGACGCGACCTTCTCTCAAATGCGCCGCGTGGAATGCGCAGGATCGAACGCCAGAGGCGAGCCAAGATCGGCCATAGGACGCTTCGCACCCGCAAGCGTCGCACCGAGGAATGGAGCCTGGCGCTGGCCCTCGCATGGGTGGTCTTGATCCACTTTATCTTCATCAGCGCCATTACCTTGCTGCTTGTCAGCTCCCTTCCACCTAAATTTTTCCCACCACCAGAGGAAGTCTCTGCTCTTACCAGCTGGACGCAGGCCATCGGCAACATGCCTCCCGTTGCCCTGAGCCGTCCCTCCTCGCGCCTTCTCGTCTCTCGATGGGCCGCCTTCCTTGGCAGCTCTGCGACCGTGCTTGCCGCCGGACAGTATCTACCGCAGATCGTCTACACTGCGCACACCAAGCTCGTCGGCAGTCTCAGCATTCCCATGATGTGCCTCCAGGTGCCCGGCAGTGCCGTCTTCGTCTACTCGTTGGCGCTTCAGCCAGGCACCGACTGGTCGTCGCTAGCCGCCTATGTGTTGACAGGCGCGCTCCAGCTCGTCCTGCTCGTCCTCTGCGTGGCTTGGCGCTTCCGTCAGCGACGGGCTGGCATCGATGACTATGGTCGCCCGCTTGCTCCAGTCTCCCTCTGAGGCGACCTTTTCCCCCCCACCGACATTGCTGTATTGTATCTACAGGCAGTTTCTTCCGCTCTAGCCGCAATTGAGGTCAGTGCGCATTTGCTTTGAAACTTTGCACTGTGTAACTTCATGTGCGAACGCAAGTGCCCCGCTGTTCGCTGCTTCATCAGTGCTTGATAAGCCACTAGAATTGCTCCCACTCGCAGCATCGGCCTTCACTCGGTGGGGTCGATTCGGATCAGATGAAACTCTTTCTTCACTGCTTGCACGATCCGAATCCAAGCTCTTTCACCATCTTGAACCCCCTCGCTACATCCAACCGACCGCCAGCTAAAGCACCAGACAGAACACAGCAATGAAAGTCCTAGCCATCATATCCCTGGCTGCGCTATGTACAAGCTGCGTCGTCCAAGCACAACCAGTAACGAACGTGCACAGAGCGGGCAAAGCACACCGAGATCGTGAGTCTTGATGGATGGCATTGTTGCCCTTGACTCTGATCGGTTGTAGCCACTGACCTTCTTCCTGGTCTCTCGTCAACAGATCGGAAATTAGTCGCGCGCGGCGGCTATCAGGCAATTACAAAGTTCGAAGACAAGATCAACATTGGACTTGCTGTCAGTGCCGCAGTGGCAGCCGCGCTTGCAATTGGTACGGCTGGCTTGGCTTTTACCCAGCATCTCGCTTGTGAGGCCGTGGCCAAGCAGGAAAAGGAAATGCAGCAGTCCTGGGAAGACATGCACCCTGACGGTTTCGCGGGCAAGGGAGACTCAATGCGACCGGCATCTTTCAACTGCAACGAACAGGAAAGGAGGTTCAAGCCGCTCATCTCGTACACCAATGCCTATGAATACTATTGAGCCGGCTCAGTGGTCAACGGCGAGCTGGCGACCACAATCAAGGTCTCTCTCGCCAGACACCTTTCTTAGCAATTCTTGTTTTGCCCCTTTTTGATCTTCTTTGCTTATAGCCGGGTTCCATCTACCGCTGCTTCCACACTGTCCTTCCTTCTTCTCCTTTTCCAATACACTCTTTGAGACCACACAAACATGAACAACGAAGCCCGCAACAGGGTCGTGACCAGCCGTCCTTGTGAAGCCTTTGAGCACGATTGAGGATCACCGATGTGTTTTACCCTATCACGCGATTGCAAAGCCTAAAGATGCCTCTACTCTGGCAAATAGCCGCCAAAAGCCGGAAGAAGGGCAGCGTCGCGGGGAAAAAAGTGGACCCCTCTCTGGTTTCTCTCGAGAGAGGCCCTTGCCCAACCACAACCGGCAACGGGCGGAAACAGGTTCCCAATCGACACGACGACCAACCTATCCCCATCCACTATCTTGCCAACTCTCCGATTCCCATTCTTGCTCTGAACCGCTGCCGGAACGACTCTCTTCCGCCTATCTACAGCCTCAAGCTTGGTCGAAGGCTGTTCCACCCCCTCACCGGAAAGTACCGATCGAGCGCCGATCGATTCCGACCGTCTCGGCATCCTGTCCTTTGGCACAACTTTGCAGCGGCAGATTTCCAAGGTGCCAGTCTTCAATTACGGCAGCGGCATTTGGAAACATCGTGGCTAGGACGAAACCGCTTCCCCGCACATCGATGCATGAGCCAGGCCGATCTGCGCACGAGACAGAGACTCATATCCACCATCACCCATCCTCTGCAGCGCATCATCAAGCGACCTTGCCAAAAGGCGCGCGGAGCAATGGTGCTTACTCCCCCGTTCGAGACAGTCAAAAGATGAGCGACTCTGCTGCTGCTGGGAGCTCGGTGCCTGCCAATGCGGGATCGCCTGCCTCTCGATCCGTGCAGGAGACCGATAGCGGTTCGGCCAAGAAAGACTTTCAGCGCTCGTTCAAAGCATGTGACGGATGTCGCACCAAGAAGGTCAAGTGTGAGCTAGGCGATCTTGCTGCACCATCCGAGCCACCATGTGCGCGATGCAAGCGAGAGATGCGGCCTTGCCTCTTCACCATGTCGACTCGAGGCCGCGGTCCCAAGGCGCGCTCCTCTCGATCACAGGCCTTTGGCGCACACCATCTAGCCAAGAACCCTCGCACTTCTTCTGCTCATGACATGGACGATGATGACGAACACAGCACTGCCTCTTCGGCCATTGACGCACTCGCCGGCGCTGCCCTAGCCTCTTTGCCTGCCACCAACCCACGGCTCCACTCGGCGCGCCACGATGTGCCCGTTTCAGCGCTCGACCCGTCCGATGCTCCAAGCATTGGTATGATCTACGGCCTCAATCGCCACGACGGAACACACTCCCAAGGCAAACGTAGGAAGCTCTCGACCGATATTGAGGCATCAGGACGTGCCGACAAGATGGATGAGCCGATGGACGATCCAATGACTGTGGAACAGCTCGACTCGTCCACTCGATCCGCCAGCCCGTCTGCCACCACTGCAATCAACAGTGAACCTCTTGGCTTGATATCGAGACTCGACTCCTTACAACAGTATGCAGAAGTCGGGCTGCAGCACAGCAAGGATGCGCTTAGGGTGCTTGCCGGTGTTGCGGTGGACTCGAGAGAAGCAACAGATGATGTGGATGCCGGCCGAGATGCGAACAACGGGCAAGAAGCTGGTGGCTTAGCCCTTCTGGATGACGCCGGTGCACGTAGCCACCAAGGGCAGACTCCTTCGATAGACCGACGGTCTTCAGATCAAGCAGGTTCATCCGCTGCAG